TGCAAAAAAGATGTCCTTCTTTCCCTTATGACTACTAATATTGCTTATAATGTGGATGTCCGAACTTGGATGCAGAAAAAATTAAGTTCAGACACCCCTGTTTTAAAGTTTCAAAGAGGCTTGAAACACTTCATTTTGGTGTAGAGGAATGATAACTGGCTCCCAAAGTATTGTATCTTTTCATTTCTAGAATAGGATGATCATGATTGAGTGAGCATCTGACTTTAATTCTAACCATATTCTAGATGAGACTGAAAGTTCAAATTTCATGCAAAAATTACTCTGATGGTGCTTATTTCACGTACTATTCTAAGAGAGACGTTTCACCATACTTCTTTTTCCTCCAATGAAGCAGAGACATGGAAGGTGAAACTTGGTGCATTGGTATTTATTGAGATGCAGATATCTGGGGGAGTAAGCTAATTTTAGGTTTCATTCCCAGGGGCATATCTTGCAGGTGGACCTTTTTCAAAAAAAATTATTTAGTTCCAGGGAATCATGGAGACAGAAGGCTGAAACCTTACTTAATAGGTATCTGCTGGTATGCAGACATAAGGGAAAATCCAACTTTTGGGATGTACAGGGTGGGCCAAAAAAACCAAAGCTGTCATTTTTGATGAGTCATCAATTTCTTTGTAGGTTGCTGATTTTAATTACAATTGGTAGACGTATAGGGTGACACAATTGGAGTTTGTATACCAAATTTCAGCTTTCTGGCTCTAAAATTATAAGAGCTGTAAATATTTTCTGATGACCAATGACAAAATGTGCTGTTGAAAATATCAATATGAACTTGAGGCTGGGAAGAAAGGGAGGTCCAAATTCATAAACTTCCATACCTGGATGATGCTACAAAGGAGGATTGGGAGGCACTGCCTCAAAGGTTTATTGACCAAGCTATTGATCTGTGGCGTCCCAGACTAGAGGCTTGTGTTCAACAGAATGGAGGGCACATTGAGGACCTTTTCTGTTGAAATGAACGTCCCTAAAACAAATTGTGGGCTTTCGTGTTTTGCATTTGTGCCTTTGTTATTGTTCTGTTTGTTTTTGGCAGTTGTGAAAGATTTTAAGCTGAAAGAAAAAATGAACACTTACTTTATTGGTGATAAATGTATATTAAATGCCAATCTCAATTTTTATTTGAAACTTGGCACACAAACCCTAATTGAGTCACCCTATGTGTCTACCAAATTTAATAAAAACTGGCAACCTACAATCAGATTGACAACTTATCAAAAATGATAGCTTTGTTTTTTTTTTTTTGGCCCACCTTGTATATTGTGAGGGGAACATACATACATTTGGAACAATATGGAGGAGCCATATTTTTAAATTTTTTATGCTACATTGAATTGGGTAGTGGTGGATATATAAATCTGGAATTTGGTACATAGGTTGTTCTCCAGTCACTTATTTCTGAAAAAATCCTACTCTTGTGGTAAATACCTTGGGTGCACACTTTTCATTAGGGTCATGTTTTTGGAATTTATTTTTTAAAAGCAGTCCAAGCAGGTACAGTTCGTTAGTTCAGTAGACAAGTATTTCTCTGCATGTTTAATTCCGAAAACATCCAACTTCTGGGACATAATCCTGCTCCAAATTTGGAGGTACAACTCCAGGAAGAAAATTTATCTAGTAGATGTGTTTATCGTGAGCAATGTTTGCCTTTCTGAAGGACATCTCACCTGAATTAAAGCTCTGATGGCTTTTTCACCAGCCTCAGATCAATAATCCCTCGCATTCGAACCTTCTACCATGATTGCACTACTTTGGAGACAAGTCATGACACTTAGGTGTGCAAAGAAATATATGATGCTATACTTTTTGCGCATGTGCTTGACAGTGTCTGAAGTTACATGTCCCATTATGAAAGTTTGGACAGAGCTCCAAAATACATTTTCTCTGAAAAACATGCAGCAATTGAGCTTTTGTCAACTCTAAACATTCTTTATCTCAAGAAGATATATTTATGAGGATATGACACGTGAATGTATGTCCAAACTTAAGTTTCTCATACATTTCTTGATTGAGTTTGGACACACCAAAAGTAAGACAGTGATGTGATCAATGCACATGCATTCTTCATTCAGCACGACTTCATGACATAGTTTCCTGGGAAGTAAGAATTGAGTGCAGAAAACAATGCCACATTTGAAACGCTTTAAAAGTAAGGTTCTCTCCTTACAGTTTCTTGAAGAATTCCTCCTGTTCTAGATATAGCATTGGTCTAAGCCCAATGTCGTGGAATTGTGCAAAGTTATGACCACTGCTTTTCCTTTGCTCAGTAACATGTTCATCTCATGTTAGGAAGAACCATTTTTGAAGGTGGCCTCGTGAATGCTTAATTTTGTAACAGTGTCCGAACTAGGGTGGTCTTACCCTACATTTTAATACAGTTCTCCCATTTGCAAATCCATCCTTGGATATCAAATGAAAAGAGGCCTGTCTGTGCACCACTCAGTCCTCATAACAACCCTCCACCTCCAATCCACTTTCAGAATAAGTGACAAGTTAAGAGTTCACTGCTATCTGGAAAATGGGGGCTAGTTTACTAGTGCTTGGATAAAAAATTATAAGGTTAAATAAAATTGCAAAATTGGTCACATATAAACTATTTTTGTTGGTCCAAGTATTTTCATAACTTTTGAAAGCAATTCATGCTTTTCCTGAATGTGCAGCAAGGTATCACCACAGATGAGGACATACAGTGAAAACTCGTTAACTCGAATCTTGATAAGTCGAAATTCTGCTTATCTCGAAGTTCAATGCTTGGTCCCGGCAGAACCCTGTAGAACACCATATTAAAAGCTCTGTTTAACTCGAATTCACTTATCTCGAATTTCCGGATATCTTGAATGAAATTTTCACTTCCTATAACGATTTTCTCACGGTTAACTCAATCGAATTCAGGGTGAGAAGGGGGAAAAAATTCTTCTCGTGGGACTTTTAGATTTTTGAATAGAATGAATGACAAGAAACCCGTTCGGGAGGATGCTCTTTTGTTTTTTTCTTGCTTCTCCCTCCTCCCACACAGATGCCTGTGGAGAGGATTAAAACCGAAAAGCTTCGGCTATAAAAAAGCCTCCAACATTCGCTCTGTCAATCTATCGCTCTCACTTCAAGCCATTCTGCCCCCTATGTCCCTTGACATTTTTGGGGGGGGGGGGGCGGCGATTCCTGACAACTCAAAACGATTTGCCCTGTCCCTAAAAGTTCGAGTTAATGAGTTTTCACTGTATTTCTCATTTCTCCAATTCTTGACAACACTTGCTGGTTAGAGAATTGGGCAGATAATGAGAAACACTTATTCATTTTCATTTCCATATTGTTGTCTCACAGCCCTATCAATGATCCATTCCTCAGATTCAAATGAATTCCTCTGTATCATACTAATATTGGCATGTATGCCAATCAGGTATCAGGAGGAACTCCAGGAGTCCCATCAAATATTGGATACATTTACCATTGCTTAAACCTTGCAGAGTACTCAATATATCCCAGTGATTCTGAAAGGCATCATCTCTCTAAAGTGATCCCCATGTTGATAACTGATATGCATGTCCAAGTTTAGACTTGAAGCTGTTGATGCATTTTGTGCTTTAGAGTTCTAAAGGTTGGAGTAAAATATTTAAGAAATAAATACAAACATTTAAATTTGATCGCATCAATGCTCCAGTCAATAGAATATCCACAAAACCCAATTATTATTGCAACCTTGGTCCATACATAATACTGCAGGAAAAAACAGGATAGACACTAGCCTGTAACTGTAGGCGGAAACTGATGTACACGATGGCTTACTTCATTAATTATTGATATTAGCAGAAAATTTACTTTTCCTACTTTCATCAGTGTGATACACAAGTAGCTCCTGGAACCATGTCTAAAAACAAATTAATGTTTACCATACTTGATTTTTTCCAGTTTGTAAACTGGATAGATAAAGAAATTTATGTTCATGCTCAATATTCTGCCAAAAGAAAATTTTGAAGAATCCCTTTAACACTTGCACTCTGATGGACATACTGATACAGTATATCTGGCTTTGATTTGTTGTTCCACCTACAGGGCATACTAGTATGTCCTTCAACTTTTTGCTCATATATAAAATTGTGGAATCACCATTCATAGTTCAGAGATGTACTTTTATATTGTGTGGGTGCTGAAATGGAAAGAAGCTGGATGTATCAGTATGTCCCTTTGAGTGAAAGTGTTAAATACATGGTGCTGATCAATTAGCTTGGGACTGAGAAAGATGCTTTAGATTCAGCTTGCAAAAAGCTTTTGCATGATTGCAAAACAACTTAAAGAACCATGAAACTAAAGCTCAATCATTGACATCATAAAGGAGCAAGCAAACAAGAACAAGCGTACAACAAAAAAAAACCATTAAACACAACCCAAAATTGCTCCTTGATGTTACAATGACAGGGGTTGCACTAAGATTCTTGCCCTGGCCTCCTGCCAATGCATCCCGAGGGTCCCTGGACCCCTGGGACACAGGCAGAAGGTCCAAGATTGCTGGATTGAATGTCATACTGCTTGGTTTTGTTACAAGTCAGCAAATATGCATGGATTGCTGGACTTTTACTTTTGGGGAACCCTTCAAGATTCCCTTGTGCTTCACTTGGACCCCCTTAACTATCAGGGGACCCTTTCATATCAAACCTGAGGATCTTGAGGACCCCTACAGCAAGAAACCTAGTGCAACCTCTTAATGACATTTACCTTCTTTTTTTTTTGTCAGAAGGGTCAAGCAGAGAACCCAGCTCTGGTAAAATGCATGTAGCGAGCCATAGTGTTGATGTTAATGATACCATGGTGTGTATGATTTTTAACCCAGGTCATGGTATCAAGCCAGACTGGGATATCATGGTGCTTCGCACCAAATGTTATTTTTCAGACAGATATGACATTTTGGTCATTTGGAAAATGTATCTGATGAAGGAAATTTTGAAAAGGAGGAAAAAAAAAAGCTTTGTCGAAGAGAGAAAAAGCATTTTTGCGTTTTCGAGATACATCTCCATATCACAAATCATGAGGGGACAAAAGAAACATGAGGGATTTTCATGAATAGATAATTGAGTCTTGAGTCTCTCTCATAAGATCAAATTTAGAGGGGAGAGACAATGAAAAAAGATGATCATTCTTCTTTCAATTCTGCATGAAGTTGGGCTTGGGCTTCTATAGACTCGTCACAACCTTGATCATCATCCAGAGGGCTGACACCATGTTCAGCTAAGGGTTCAGGAGATCGAGCAACAGTTCCATACGTTGTCCAGCGTTTCTCTGAAATTTTAATAGTAATAAAAATTGCATGAACCAATATCACATAATCATCGCTCAATATGAGAGAGAATCCTTATCAAATGTAACATCTATAATATAATGATAATCATGATGGACCATGAGAAACTTGAAGGTGCAAGCTTTTCTCAAGTGTGCTTCCCATCGTGCCCATCTTCTCTGATTATTGCAAGTGGAAACCCATACAGATGATAATGGGGCATTCAATCTAATTTCATATCCACAGAATCAGACCCTCTAATTCCAGATAAGAGTAGGGTGGGGTGAGAAAATAGTCCACTTGAAAAATCTACAATTTCACCCACTCCTGCTCATCTCAGATACTGTGGCATGCTGGGGCCTCTGCTTTTGAGGTCTATAAGGTTATTGTGGGGGCCCAATTTACTACTCACCAGTTGCTTAACTTGCTGAAAGTTCAATTCGTTAATTGATTTGCTGACCAACAACTCCCTTGACTAACTCAACCTCATTATTGACTTCCTATATATGAATTTAATGAAAAGAAGAAAGGCTCAGCTACAAAATTCTTTTTTTTTTAGACTTGAAATATCTTACAAAGTGACTTGGAAAAAAAAGATAGAATTTCAGCTATGAAAATTTGGCATTATGCTCAATGACTTGACCCAACATCCCTTGATGCCCTGACATTTACAAGAAGGGGAAGGGAAATGTGGACCTCAGCAGATGTTGTGAGGATGATTGGATGTGCCTGCCACCCTAGGCTGTTGTTGAGTGCAACACCGATTTTTCATAACTGAACTTCAATCATTTTTTCATAAGTCACTGTTTAAGATATTTCAAGTCTAAAAAAAAGCATTTTGTAACTGAGTCTTTCTTCTTTCTGTTACATGTAACTGGCGAATATTTCCTTGAAAACATCACACCTAAAATGTGCATTGAAAAGTGCACCCTTTTTTTGGGGCCACTTTGTAGATGCAAGAGACAGTTTCTTCCTTTTGACCTGATAATGAGGTAATTTGAATTAGTCGACCTGAATTGTCATATGGAATTAACTAAACCATTTTCTGTATTCTTGGAGATTGGAGGGATTTTAGTCACAGGTTCATCATGCTGTTGGTGCCAGTCTTGGTAAGATTCTTTTTGGCTAGATGGCATTAAACCATCATTATGCAGTGTGAAAAGGGCTAGAAATTTTGGAATAGGCAAGGCCCCACATCCAAAGTAACATTGAGGATTAGTATTTGTATATCAGAAGGGCAATGAAAGCAGTGCTCTAGTTTTCTGTCAACTTTGACTACCTGAATTCATTCTAAGTCTTATTGAAATGAATGTCTGGTAAGTTGCAAATCAGCAGATTGAATGCAGAAGTTAAAGCTGTCACCCTGGAGCCTGTTCCTTCCTTTGTTACAGTTACATCTGAACCTAAACTAAATCTAAACTGCAAGGAGAAAATAAAGGAAAACAACAGAGATCTGTTTCTTACTCGAGCTAAAAGGTCTTTCTGAATCTGAATCTAAAGTAAAAGTCTGCTCCTGGCCAAATTACCATAAAACCTTCTCAGGTTTCAAACAGGGATGCCTGAAATGATTGCTGGATGGGTGAAATATTTGGGACAAGATGCCAAACAGGATTTATATCTGAGACACACATGGCTAGGAGATGCGGCAACATATTTTTCTTTACTAACAATTCAAATTTGCAGAAACTTTGGATTTTTTTCACTGCAGCCCACTCCAGGTTAACAAAAAAATTCAGGTGGTCCTTAACTCAAAGGAGGTTTAGGAAATACTGGATTAAGGAGTTATAAGGGTATTTACTGACACCTTCATGAGAAATGCATGTTCATGCTGCTGTATGCAGCCCTCTCATGTCTAATAAGCTGCTTTGACATTTATGGCTGCTTCAAATAGCAATTCAATCTACGTGATGTTAAAAAAAAATCTGTGCCAAATCATTTTTGCTATTAATGACAGTAAATCTTATCACATCAACTTAATTTTTTAAACTCTGCATGCAGATAGAAGAAAGAAGGCATGTGCCTAATTCTAAGAAAATTGACCCATTGCATCATTTTCTATGCCATTTCTAACTTGACATGTAAAGAAGTGTGCTGTACAAGCTCAAAAAAAAGTGCCAATTCGTTTTTTTATTGGAATGTTAGTAAATTTCATCCAATCAGCACAATATTTCACAAACTGCATGTGAATAGATTGAAGAAGGCTTTTGTAAAATTTGAACAATACTGACTGAATGTATCATGTGATACACTGTTTAAAACTTGAAGGCTAAGAAAATCCAACAGACATGCCAGCTGATGCATTCGTCTAAGCCAGAGAAGCAAACCTCCCTTGCTGTTCTGGATAGCACAAAGACATTTGCTTGCTGCACAACTGAGATGAATGCATCAGCAGGTAAGTCCAGTGCATTTTCTCAGCCTATCACATGGTACATTTGGTCAATATTGTTCAAAATTTGCAAAAGCCTTCTTTCATCTATCCACATGCAGTTTGTGAAATATTAGACCAATCGTATGAAATTTACAAACATCCTGATAAATAAATAAAAAAACAAATAGGCACATTTTCCAGATAGCAGTGTTATCCATTGAGAACCAGGAATACATAAATTCCTAAAATTTTGGGAAGAGCAGAATCCTCTGTGATGTAAACCCTAATGTTATAGGACTGAAGAGGCTCGAATTCACATCTTTATTATACCCACATATTTACATCCCTGAACCAGGAAAGTACTGCTACACCCTTGTCCCTTAAAAAAAAAATATGAAAAAGTAACTAGGGAAGAAGTTTTTGAATGAAACATACTTCCCCATGTGGATGAGTTACTTTTCTGGCTCTGTCTCCCTCTCCTTTTGTCACTTTTAGAAGTAACTCAGCCTAATCTGGAAGCATGAAGCCTTTCTGGAGGGGCAGTTGTCCAAACTTACCCAAGATTTCCCTTCCTTTTTTATCTGCCATACATACTATGGGAAAATGGCAAATATTGTGATTGGCCTCTCACTCTTTAAATTTTCATTCCATCTGTCTGCAGTGTCCATAGCAACTGGACAACATGACTTGCTGTACATGTGCAGCTTTCTGCCTGGGTTGGGGTGCTGTCTTCCATTAAAACATCCACATCCCTTCCAGCCCTCATGGATGATGGATCCACAGTAGACAATGGGCAAGAGTGGCTGCTTGTAGCTGCGTAGACTGGGTTGTTGCTAAGTGCATGTGTGAAATGCCACATCTGGCATCCTACATTCCATACTCTCATCCCATCTCCATGTGACACAGTCCATTGAAAACATGTCTAGTTGTCTTGTACTTTATATATATATACATTGTTATATATACAAAGTGCTGTCTTCCATCCCAGCGACACAAATCAAACGACACATATATGACAACAACATCATGTCAGAAGAGCAAATGGGTTGTCGGAAAGGATCATACGGCTGCAAGGAACAGCTCTTACTCAACCATATGGTCATGGATGATACCAGAACCAGGAAGAAGAATCTCTCAATGGCATGGATCGACTACCAGAAGGCATATGACTCGGTGCTCCATTCATGGATCATTGAGTGCCTCAGGATGTACAACATCAACCCTGTGGTGTATCCTAGCCATTCAGGACCAGTGTATTAGAACTTGTAACTACGAGAAGCACATCCTGAAGCTGGATGTGGACAACCGCTGCAGATGCTGTCATGGACCACCCGAAATGGTTCACCACCTCAGTGCCTGCCCCGAACGAGTACTTGTACAGGCACGACAAAGTGTGCAAATATGTGCACTGGTGTGTCTCAAAGCAAGCCGGCCTGGAAGTCCCAGAGAAATGGTGAAAACACCAGCCAGAGTCTGTTGTGGAGAACGCCTCCACCAAGATATCATGGGACATGCCTATAATTACAGACTGCAGTATAGGCTGCAATAGGCCAGACCTTACGATCTATAAGAAGGAGAAGAAGACCGCACTCCTCGTTGATGTGAGCATCCCAGCTGATAACAACCTCCAAGAGAAGACCAGGGAGAAGCTGGAGAAATACTCCAAACTAAGAGTGGAAGTGGAACAGTTGTGCGGAATATATATATAGACCTATACCACACCAATGGCAGCTATCATTTATTTAAAGGTTGTTTAGTTGAATGCGACAAGGAAGATAATTCCAAAGGTATCAGAGCAATTGGAATGGCAGATCTGTACCCAGGCTGGTACACTCTAGTTTGTTTTTTTTTTTCAACTGTTTTCCTATGCTTTCCTTTCATTCACAGTTTAAAGTAATCCAGTCATGCTGGGAGCTTGAAGTCCATCTATTATGACATTCAAAATCAGTCTCTCTATGCATGGTTCAACTGGAAATTCCTTTGCCAGGATGGTATATTCCAGCAAGGCACTCAATCAACTCAAATTCCAGTATTTGCTAACACTTACGACGTATAATGGGGCCACGCTGGTGCTGTGGAAGACACCAGGCCAAGAGGTAGAAGAGAGGTGGAAGGATGCACATGCATGTCACAACAATGAAGGGTGCTTCTGCTGTCACATTCCTCTGAGTGCACTTGAGGTTTTGGCTCCATACCATTCGAGTCATGTTCATCTGAGGCAACCAATTGAGACATCAGATAACAGTAAATCTATAAGTGTTATTAAAAGTTTTAATGCTAAAAAAGCATTTTTTTTCACATTGAGTAATTGGGCAATAAGAACATACTTTCATTGGCTACACAACCTTTTATTAGGCATTTTCCCCAAATACATCAGATTTTAGTCTTTCTCCAGGTGCAATCTACATAGATGAGATTACTAGAATACTCAAACTTAATTTGCTTAAACAAATTTCTGGTGGTTGGACTTGTTAATCAGGTGTCCCTGTCTTTGCTTCCTATTTGGGAAGCTTCACACCTCACTCTGGCAACAGTAATCTCATAAATTAATGGTCTTAGCAGACTTATCAACCTCGCCACAGCAAGGCTCATATATCTGCCATGACTTCTACTGGATCTGAGGTGAAGCTTCTTCAAAAGTGTTCCCCAAATTCCAGGATCACAAGAGCATAAATATGACTTCTTCCATGATAAATTACCTGCTCTCTTAAATCTATTGTCTTCCCTGGCAGCTGATTCATCTTTCACCAACATACTGCCTCATACTGTAGCTCTTGAACAACTGTCTTTCTTGCATCAGCACATGTCAGAGTCTTAAATGCAGCAACTGACATTCAAATCTGAACAATTTCAATTAAGCAGCATTTTAGGACAGCTTACAGGAAGACAAGCTTCAGATTCTGTGGGATGTGCAAGGGGAGAGTGATTAAGAGTTGGATACTACCTCCAAATGATTTTGGACTGGGTTATTCACCAGTACCGGTAATATTTGGCAGCCAATTTCCAAAAGAGCTAAACATGAGGAAAATTTATTTTCAAGACTTTACCTTGGAGTTGGAGCATTCAAATGCATTGCTCTTCAGTGGATTCTGGCTTTCTCTTCTTTTGAAGAAATTATTGAATGGCCATGGTTGTTTTTTTTGCCCACCCTAAGACCTCAACAGGAAGGCACATAAGCCTGCATTTGACTTACTGCATCCACAATGTCCATGCAAATGTGATCTGCATCAATATCACCAAGAACATCAGCATAAATATAGTTCAGTGCTCTGTAGGAATCCTGGCATCTATCACAGGTGACATTGCGTGTCTTCCCAGACCAGGTATCAGGACCAATTCCATGAACACCAAGAACTTCAGTTTGATTCTGTAAGCAAGCCAACATCTTCTTATATTGAGCCATGAAAGACTTAGTCACATTGTTCAGGTCTGTTGTCAGTGTTCCATTCCCATATTTCTCAAAGCAATCTATAAGGACAGCAATAACAGTGTTAAAGATTTGAAAAATTGTTGAGTGACCATGTTGAATGAATAAGAAAATGCTCACTGTCACAGGCAGCCTTCTCCCACAAGTTCATTGTAAACTGAAATGATGTTTCAACTATCTGGATCCGATCAGCATTTAATAATTCTGAAATGCAGCCTTCTCCACTGTTTTCATCTTGCTCCTGTAAACAAAAAAGAAAATAATACTGTAAAAATAATATAGCAATTAATGATAAAATTAGGTGAGAAAGTCATACCATAATGATGGCATGATGAGCCTGAGAGACATTCAGATACTGCTGAACACATTTCTCACAGAGGTGAATGGGCCTTGCAAACCGAACAGCACAGTGAGTGAATTCGGACACAGCATGTGAGAAATATTTCAGGAGGTCTTCACATTTCACACTCAACCAACCTTCATGCACTTCCCTGAAAAAAGAACCAGGGGTTGACTTTTACAGTTTTTGGACATAAATCGGAGGAGAGCAGCCATGGAGAATATCACCAGAAGAAAGGAAAGAAACATACCTCTTCAGAAATATGATGGATATTCTCCATGACTCTCATCCCCTCTGGATGCCACATAGAGAAGTATCAGACAAACACATAAATGCACACAAGACTATTAACTTTTTATCTTTTTTCTGGTTTTCAGTCTGATTGCTTTTTGCTTCACAGACTGGACTAAGGCCTTCATCTCATTGTCTCTCAGCTTCTTGTCAGCAGTTTCCAAGTTGGCACTCTTGGTCAAGCCCAGAGTGATACGCTTTTGTTTCTCAGCAATTATGGCCTCCATACCCCTGGTCTTCTTGAAGTGCTGATGTGAAGGATCCACATTGAAATGGTGAGAACTAAAAAGTGCTGAAAATCGGGAATCATTCACATCCACTTGAAACTCATCTTTCTCTTGATCTTTTTGGTTTTCTTCTGATTTCAGCCGTCTTTTTTTCTTTGTCTTGGATTCATTCTCACCTTTCACAATGTCTTTGTAATTAAAGTGCTGTTTTCTATCATCATGTACATCTGCTGTCATCGTTAACAAGTGAAGTGTATTATCAACAGGTTCTTCTTCATTCTTCACTTTCTTCTTTTTCTGTTTCTTTTCCTTTACAACAGTCTTGAAAAAAGGATCATTGAGGTCCACATCAGCTGGAAGGTTATCACTACTATACTCTTCTGATTGTGTCTCCTCTTCTATCTTTCTTTTAGATTTCTCTTTCTTTTTGAGGTATTCTTCCCATGGTGTAAGGCTAGCCTTTTCTTTCTTTTGCTTCACCAATTCTTCAGTTCGATCCTTCAATCCTACATCCCATGTAATCTCCATTTCTACCTTTTCCTCTTTCTTCTTCTTATGCTTCTTCTCCAAGTCCTGTATCAGTTCTCGATACTTGGCAATCCGATCCTTTGCAGTCATGCTGACTTGGGAACCTTCAATGTCACTTTCAACTGCTTCCTCTTCAGGCTCCGAGTTAGATGTATCAGATGCTAAATATGCTTCCAGATTCTCCTCTTCACCTTCTCCTTTCTCAAAGGCTTTCTGAAGCAATTCAGATCGTTCTGGGTCTGTTTCGTCCCATGTGCAGTCAACATTTGCCTGCTGCAGGGCTGTATTTATGAAGAACTTTGGCTTGTATTTTCCTGGTGGGGGAAGAGAACTGCACTGATCTCGTGGTTCATCCTCAAAGGTTACTGTATCTGGAACTAGACGGAGGTCTAGTCGAGTTGCAGTGCTCTCATATTCAGCACCATCGCACTCTTCATAGAGACAACTGGCTGTTTGGTGACTATCGCACTCTACTATTGCATAATAGTACTTGAGGCGGTTCAGTTGGTACTGACGCAGTTTCTCAACATGATAGCCCTTGCCCTCTTCAGTCTCTCCCTCTTCATCTGAAGATGAAGAAAAGGCTCTTTCAGCCAACAGCTCCTTTGGACCTTCCACTGCTTCATCTCTCATCCTCTGCTTTCCAAACTCTGAAGGATAGATTTTCACAGATTTGATGAGTCCACCACTTGGCAAGAAAGAACTCATAAGCACCATGATGTCTACGGCCTTGAGTCGGTCCCAGTCCATGTTGCAGACTGCAACTTTGGAGGTCTCTTCAATTGTGTCAGTGCGTTGAGCATCATTATCTAGTTCTCCCCAAGGATGTTCAACATCTTCATTGGATTCATTATCTGAATCCTCATCACTGGAACTAGACAATAACTTCCCCTCTCCACGTGCATAATCACAAGTCATATCCATCAACTTCTTTCGTAAAACTGAGTTCTTTGGCAATTCACCATCAGACTCTGTCTTCTCAGGAAGTTCCTGATCTGAACCTCTTCCCAACTCATCTTCCATGTTCTCATTATTCTTCATCAATTCAACATTCTCACCTTTGGCATCACTCTTCACTATTACATCATCCTCTACAGAACTTTCATCTGAGCTGGAGAGGTGATAAAACCTCCTGAGATCTTCGGTGTTCTCCAACTGCAATGGCCTCCCCCGTTTGTCAACTTGGCACTTGACTTTAAAGTGCTGGTCCTTGAACATAGCCTGAAAGCGTTTGTCAATTTTGACCTTACGTTCATTCTTAGGTAGAGGACGGAACCGAGGGTCTGTCCTGATGTGCCTAAATCTTTCATCTTCCTGATCTTCAGACATTCTGGTCAAGAAGAATTCAATGCACTGGGTGGGAGAAAGAACAAATTACTCACGCTTCCTTGGAAAATGGGATGAAGCTGCATCCAAAATATACAAGAATGAGCTTCACATACCACATTCTACAACCTAAGAGAAGAGATAAAACAGAGTGCTTACAGCAAAAGAAAAAAACAATGCATCCAGGAAAACTTCAATGGAGAAAATAATATATGAAAAATTTCCTTGCTGAACACTGAATTCACTCCTTCAAAGTGGGGTATACTGAGATCAGCAACCCTCATCAAACAACCTTCACCATTAGCCTTTTGCAAGATTCAATCCCACAAAAATTTTCATACTAAGTCAAGTTGGTTCATTCAGGAAGCTATTTGCAACATCCATCATGTAAAAGCTTAAAATGAAATCCTAAGCTCATTCAAAACTACATTTGACAATTATAAAAAAAAACCAACTCTGTCAGGAAAAGTGAACATATCAGGTGATTCATGTGGTGTCCTTGATTCAGCAGCACTTGAAACAATGCAAAGATTCAAAGACTTCTGAATATATTGAAAATGAATCATTAGAACCAAGAGCATTCTAGTTGGTCTAGTCTGATCATTAAAAACAGAAATGAAATTGCATCTGACATCAAAAGCAAAATAATGAAATGAAATGAAACAAGGAACATATAGATGACAAAGATGTAATATGGTTTTCTTCAAACCAAAGAACCTGATTTTGTAGACTAAACTATTGTCTGTAAATAGGAAATGGCAAAACTTTAAGAATGAAGATTGAGTTTTCCTCTTATAACATATGGATCTGGGAAATGAAACTCAGGTGAAAGAGGGAGAGGGATGACATAGTGAAATATTACATCAGCTTAAAGTAGTGGTTCCCAACCTTTTTTTTTTACTTGTAGTGCACATTAGGATGCTTACATTTTCCATGGCACACAGATCTTTGGATATGGCGATAGAAGGAATAGGGGTGTTGTGGATTAAGTCAGGTCAGCCCAAAAAAGATAATTATGTGAAGAAAAAAGTCCCCACAGCTACATTGGAACAAGTTCAGAATTTTCGTCTTACCAACTCTAAAGGAAATAACTACAAGGGATTCATGAAGCCTGTGGTTTCCAACCAATATGCTGTGGCACACTATTGTGCCATGTTTAAGGTTCAGGTGTGCTGTAAGATTTTAATAATTTCTCACTTGAATTGAGGGAGTATCACAAAGGCAAGGGACAAGCACATGTCAACATTCAACATAAAGGAGAACATCACAGGAAATATCACCACATTCTCAGGTAGCATACATACATAATACCACCAAACTACTTTTTTTTTAAGAATATACAAGGCCATGATTATAGCATTGAAAATCCATATTGTACTGGGCATTGATATATGAATTGGTGCCATGAAGAATAATAGGAACCTAAATGCCAGTGCACCTGTCTGCTGAGGTAATGGAGAAAAACTACATACCTGTACTTACTACATAATATCAAACTGACTTTTGAATTATCGCTTACCAAGCATACTCATATGCACCCAAGTAAATAATACTTCAAATGTATCAGTTTCTTTAGGAACAATCTCTACAACCCCAACAACTAGAGTTTCAATTAAAGTCATCTTCATTCCATGCCCAACAAGCTTTAACACATTGACTGCTATGTATGTTGCCGGTGTCCACTACGCAAACTTTTGCCATCTGCCATAGAGGACACCAATGTCTGCTCTCCTATACTCAAGTGTTGGTTCATGTGGCTGCTGCAATTTTAGTATCCTCAGTTATTAAAGTGCATTAGTATGCTTTTGGCAATAAAGGACATTTTTCTAAATTTTGCCTTGGAAGTCAATGTGTTAAAAGATCATGTACATTTTGAATAAAAATCCCTAATGCTCACACATTATTTGCTGGGGTTAAAATGGATTAACCAAATGTCCATTCACACTGCCAACAAAAGCTACTTTCCATAGATTTTTTGCAAGCATCAATGCAAAGTAGCTGATTTTAGACAAAGGATTAGTAAGTAAAGTCTGAGGATGGCCTATAACTACCTTGGAATCATACATAGCCACCTTTTTCTTGATGCCATGGGTGATACCCTCACTTTCTTGTTTTCAAACTCATAGTGAACTCATAATGAGTATATCCATCCATTCCTTCCAATTTTATGAAATAAAGTCTAAAGGGGGTTTCTAGATATTAAAAAAATAGTTATCAAATTTATTGCTAGTTGCTTCAGTGCATTATCCATCAAAACATTTGATCAAGCCAAGATTATTCTCTCTGAATTTGGTATGGGGAACATGAAATGCCAAGGAAGGTAAAGGACATAACAACTGGCACACATTCACATGACAATTCTGTCCAATCGGTCTTGGTGTTCCACCATTACTGACAATGAATATGAGATCACTACCAAGGATAGGTAGGATCAACTATGCAGGATACTTGGGCATCAATTTTCTAAGTGCATTGACATACCTGCTAAAATCCAAAATGAAAGATAAATGCATTCTCCACCACGAAGATGTGGTCTGATACTCGGCCACAATGTCAAGAAGTCATAATGATCCTGCTGTTCAATTGTCCATTGGACTAGTCTGGGCAAGTATAACTGGATATGCACTTGTTCAATCACTTCTCAGTATGAAAATATATGCTTTTCATACTTAAATTATACTTGCACTTGAGGACCTTGATAACGTGACTTGGCAGAATTTTGTGAACTTTCAGGGGTTCTGTGACCATCAGATCTATCTGTTGTATCAGTCAGCTCTGTTTCAATGAGAGGCTTCATATTTTTCCCATGTTTCTCAGAATACTTTGGAAACAAGTCTGAAACAAAAAGAGCAACAAGAACAGCAACAGTGGTTCCAACAATAGATCCAGCCAAGACATCACTCCAATGATGCTTGTTATCTATAACACGAGACAAAGCTGTGAACCAACTTAGCAAGATAGCCAGGAGCTGAAAGAATGGACGAGTTAGTCTGGTAAGTTTCCATGTCATTCTGCTTTGCATATACAAGACAAGGTAAACCATGGCATAGGCTGAGAATGAAGCATGTCCAGAAAGGAAAGATAATCGCATTTCTTTCAACCTTTTGTCATCAGTTCCTCGACAGGAGTAGTTAACAATATACGTAGCTGATCCATTTTTTGCAGAGCAGTCTATGTTTTCCCACTTTGGTACACAGACATCGAAGAAGTGTGGTCTGAGTCGTCCAATACTGTACTTGGCAATGTCAGTTGTCAACTGGGAGCATGCAGCCCCAAACAGGAAAGGCCCAATTTTTAAGTATAGCTGAACCAAGAATTCCTGACATGGAATCTTGCATGGCAATGCCATGGAAATCTTTTTCACATTCAGAGGTCTTCTAGTGTGAAAACCTTCAATGACTGAGATGACCAATATGGGAACAAAGATACCAACTATGTACAGTGCAGTATTAGAGATAGTTGAATCCTTGTAAGGGTAGGAGAGGGTCTCATCATTGCAGTAAAAGCCTCTCTTATATGGTTCTCCCAATACGAAGAACAGGAGGATGGGGAAGGCAACAGCCAGCAATAGAAGTACATCAATGACTACTTTCATCATCACATTCAAAGCCATGTTGCTCTCTCCTCCCCTCACACCCTCACTCACATAGCCTGCAGAAATAAAGACAGAAAATGATGGCTGTCAACCACAAATACATGGTATGCCTGGCTTAGGACAAGTTAATGGCCTAAGCCAGCCTATTAACCATTAATTAGGCCAAGTTAAAAATCCTTTGAATCTTCATAGAACAGTCATTTAGACTTTTGCAAGTTATTTCACCCCACATCCAATAAGTCCACACAAATTGGAAGCTAATGTTATATATATTTTCACCTCTATAGTACCATTATATAGGATAAACACCTCGGTTTCCGGCCAGTCTCCAGTTGGCCAGTAAGGCTTAAATCCAGCATAATTAGTTAATCTGGCCATTTTCAAGCATTCCATCAACATCTTCCTATTTGAGGACCTATTACTAGTGTTTCCTAGTGTGCACATGGAGTGTCCACTTCCTACGGGAGTTGTATCAGCGTGGCCAAAAACTGGTGGTGACCCTATGGTCACTTTTTTTGTCAATGACAAGCAGATGCACTTGGCAGAGATACATGCACTTTAGACTTAGATTCTTAACCTTCATCAATGATTCTTTGCCTTATCTTCTCATGCATGCTCAATTTTTTTTGGATGGATAAGAGGAATAATTGCATATAAATTTTTTTAGATGAGCTCTAAAAAACAACTCAAGAAACATATTACTTTTGACCTTGTGAACTACATGAAGCAATTGGTTCTATGGCCCACCTCTTTACTCTTACTCTTGGGCAGTTGAAAGCAAGAAAAATAAAATGAAATCAGAAGGTGGGGGATTGGCAACCCCCCCCCCCCCTACTTTTCAAGAAAAGAAAAGAAGCCAAAAAAAGGGAAAGGTCCATGAAATGCATTATAGTATTCCTGAGTTCCTGTGCCCCCCACTTTTTCCATCCATGCTAAGCTTATGCAGGAAGTATCCACAAACTGCCAANGATATGCACTTGTTCAATCACTTCTCAGTATGAAAATATATGCTTTTCATACTTAAATTATACTTGCACTTGAGGACCTTGATAACGTGACTTGGCAGAATTTTGTGAACTTTCAGGGGTTCTGTGACCATCAGATCTATCTGTTGTATCAGTCAGCTCTGTTTCAATGAGAGGCTTCATATTTTTCCCATGTTTCTCAGAATACTTTGGAAACAAGTCTGAAACAAAAAGAGCAACAAGAACAGCAACAGTGGTTCCAACAATAGATCCAGCCAAGACATCACTCCAATGATGCTTGTTATCTATAACACGAGACAAAGCTGTGAACCAACTTAGCAAGATAGCCAGGAGCTGAAAGAATGGACGAGTTAGTCTGGTAAGTTTCCATGTCATTCTGCTTTGCATATACAAGACAAGGTAAACCATGGCATAGGCTGAGAATGAAGCATGTCCAGAAAGGAAAGATAATCGCATTTCTTTCAACCTTTTGTCATCAGTTCCTCGACAGGAGTAGTTAACAATATACGTAGCTGATCCATTTTTTGCAGAGCAGTCTATGTTTTCCCACTTTGGTACACAGACATCGAAGAAGTGTGGTCTGAGTCGTCCAATACTGTACTTGGCAATGTCAGTTGTCAACTGGGAGCATGCAGCCCCAAACAGGAAAGGCCCAATTTTTAAGTATAGCTGAACCAAGAATTCCTGACATGGAATCTTGCATGGCAATGCCATGGAAATCTTTTTCACATTCAGAGGTCTTCTAGTGTGAAAACCTTCAATGACTGAGATGACCAATATGGGAACGAAGATACCAACTATGTACAGTGCAGTATTAGAGATAGTTGAATCCTTGTATGGGTAGGAGAGGGTCTCATCATTGCAGTAAAAGCCTCTCTTATATGGTTCTCCCAATACGAAGAACAGGAGGATGGGGAAGGCAACAGCCAGCAATAGAAGTACATCAATTACTACTTTCATCATCACATTCAAAGCCATGTTGCTCTCTCCTCCCCTCACACCCTCACTCACATAGCCTGCAAAAATAAAGACAGAAAATGATGGCTGTCAACCACAAATACATGGTATGCCTGGCTTAGGACAAGTTAATGGCCTAAGCCAGGCTATTAACCATAAATTAGGCCAAGTTAAAAATCCTTTGAGGCTTCATAGAACAGTCATTTAGACTTTTGCAAGTTATTTCACCCCACATCCAATAAGTCCACACAAATTGGAAGCTAATGTTATATATATTTTCACCTCTATAGTACCATTATATAGGATAAACACCCCAGTTTCCGGCCGGTCTCCAGTTGTTGGCCAGTAAGGCTTAAATCTAGCATAATTAGTTAATCTGGCCATTTTCAAGCATTCCATCAACATCTTCCTGTTTGAGGACCTATTACTAGTGTTTCCTAGTGTGCACACAGGGTGTCCACTTCCTACAGGAGTCGTATCAGCGTGGCCAAAAACTGGTGTTTACCCTATGGTCAATTTTTTTGTCGATGACAAGCAGATGCACTTGGCAGAGATACATGCACTTTAGACTTAGATTCTTAACCTTCATCAATGATTCTTTGCCTTATCTTCTCATGCATGCTCAATTTTTTTTGGATGGATAAGAGGAATAATTGCATATAAATTTTTTTAGATGAGCTCTAAAAAACAACTCAAGAAACATTACTTTTGACCTTGTGAACTACATGAAGCAATTGGTTCTATGGCCCACCTCTTTACTCTTACTCTTGGGCAGTTGAAAGCAAGAAAAATAAAATGAAATCAGAAGGTGGGGGATTGGCAACCCCCCACTTTTCAAGAAAAGAAGCCAAAAAAAGAAGGGAAAGGTCCATGAAATGCATTATAGTATTCCTGAGTTCCTGTGCCCCCCACTTTTTCCATCCATGCTAAGCTTATGCAGGAAGTATCCACAACCTGCCAAGTGGCAGACCTTAGTACTGACATTTCAACATAAATGGACCAAAATGCATTCAATCAAGAGTTTCATTCTGTTCATAGGTTTGCCAATAGCACTGCTGCACATGCACTGGAAAGCACCTCATTCCAAGTTGTGTCCCTATCACAAATGTTTGCTCTATGTAGTCAAACTGCACTGCATGGAGCAGTCAACAACATCCTCCTTTGCAAAAAAAAACTCCATCTCTCTTTAAAAAAAAAAAAAATAAGGAGAAAAACTAAGCACTTGTTGCTAGATCCTGAAAATATGGATGGCTATAAGTTATTTTAAGGTTTTCTTGTTTCCATTTTTTTTTAAATCTGTGAATAGTTCCTGCTTAATCTCAGAAAATCCCCAAAAATTTACCTTTGGTTTTTTTTCTTACAATTACAATATGTCTTTTCCACTTGTTACCAGTCAGTTATTAAAATAATAATAGTTACTAAGTTCCTTACCAAACACCCAATATATCAAGCCAAACAGGTAGTATTAAGTTTTGTGAAACTTTTTCATGCAGACATGGGCATCAGCTTCTGCAAATCTATTTATCATTGATTTCAATACATACATAGGAGAGCATGTCTTTCTTAACCAATCTGAATCCTCTGGGAACACACTCCAAGTTGTTATGCTCTTTCCTTTGACAATTCAAAATTGCAGAAGAAACTCCAAGATTTTCTTTCATTCACAGGGTATCAATAATATCAACTGAGGCTTTGAGGAATGGAAACAAAAATCCTTTGTAAGAATGATAGCAAGTTACTGTCTTACCTCTAGTACATATTGCTAATTAGGCAAAGCAATCTATTTCAATGGCCTTTTCCCAACTAAAATATCAAAGTGTGCTGATGGCATAGAGCTCTAAAAGAATCTCTCACATTCATAATCTGAAGGAATAGGAAGAAATATAGAGGAAAGGGGCCAGGGAGAGAGTTCCAGAAATTGAATTACAAGAACCAGAAAGATAAGAGAAGCAGGCAGTTTAAGTCTCTGGATCAAAGTGTTTGTGAAAAAGGGGAAAAAGAGAAGAAGAAAAAAGGCAAGGAGTTAAAATGCATATCTAAGAGAACCCCAGAAATGGCATTACGAACTGTAAACTGTAAATATAGTATGGATTTTGTCACTAGTTCACAAAGCAACAGTTTCACAGCCTATGGCTCAGAAGACCTTAAGAAGTCATAAAATTATTACTTTCCACAATTCAAAACCTATAAGCCTTGGCTCTTATTTGTGTGCTGTCAAGTGCATCTAGTGATTTGCATGAATGCCTTACACATTGTGCTTTTTACTGCAATGCATGATGCAGGATGAGAGGATATCTTCTGCAGTGTTTTTTACTTCAGTTAAACAATTTTTCACTTGACTTAAACACTCATGCATGTGGATCATCCCATGCATGTGTGTCTGAGTTGAGTGAAAAATTGTCTAACTCAAGTAAAAAACACTGTAGTGTTTTTATTAGTCAGATAATTTGACTCGGACACCAGTGCATGGGATGTTCCTTACAAGTCAAGTAAAAGATCGTCTGACTCAAGTGAAAAACACTATGAAAAAAGTGGCATTGGGCTAGGGTGGTCTGATTTTTTTTTTCCAGAAAAAGCTGAGTCATGTTCAAGAAAATGTCAAAAATATTAGTCCTTGCAGTGTGGAAAAACCGAGACAACAGAATGGAAAGGAAAATTCAAACCGGGACATAACTTGAAAAACCGGGACGTCTGGTCACCCTACATTAGGCCCAGTAGGCCTATGAAGCTCATGCCCATGGTGATATGAATTCATTGACAAATCACTTCAGTGTTTTCCACGTTTTCACCACAGTATAAAAAATTAAGTAAAAAATAAAATAGGCGGGGATGGATGGGTGGTTCTAGATGCGAACGTCATGCTGAAGGCACTTGGAGGGCTGACTCAGTTCGTAGAACTGGTATGACACCACTTAAAAGCCATTGATACGTGTCATCTAGTGGAGAAAACAGGTACTATTTCCTTCGTTTGTCAGTTTTGAGATGGCAGTTTCGAGCAATAACTTGGGTTGTCCTCATTGTTCGGCACGGCTTCTTGACCGGCTCCTCATGGAGCCCGCCTATCGCGCGTGGTTGAATTTTCTAAAGAAAATATTCTACTTTGATTTTAACCCAGTAACTACAAGAACCAGGATGGTCATATGTTTCACTCTTTCTTTCATTTCGTCATTCCTAAAGAATCTCTTCACAATACAGTTTTTTTTTTACTTCGGGTGTCCGGAAAGTAATGAGAATCGTTTGTAAATTTGTAACTCTACAAGCAGTGCACTTCTCACTGCTCAGGCAATCAGATCAATATGTAATCTCTGTGATTACCGATTTTCAAGTCAATCCTTTGAGAAGCGCTTACAGAGCAGACCTCAAAAGACAACTCTATAAGCTCAGTGCAACGCGGGCTGATTTTAACAATTTGGATATGGCTACAAGCGCTGAGAACTTTCGCTTCTACACGTTCACGTGGTTCAAACTTGGCATTGCAGCCGCTGCCTGTTGGAGGGAACTGATCCCCTTGTATGTCAAGTCTAATGTCTTTCGGTGGTTCAGCAACTTCAGAGAAGCAGCTGAAAAGGAGGAAGAGGCTTCCTTTCTCGACCAGCCCCACAGTAGCCGTCCAAGGTCCACCCAGACACCAGAGCTTGTCGAGACGGTGTGAGAGCTGGTGGATAAAGACTGCCTAGTGACTACTCGAGAGCTGGATGAGGGGCTCGACGTTGGCAAGAGTACTGTCCACGAGGTGCTCACACAAGACCTGCAACTGCGCAACATGGCATCAGTCTGGGTACCGCACCGACTAACCGAGGACATCAAAGCGGCTCGCATCAACGGTGCCAAGCACATCAGGGACATTTTTTTCTGCGAAGGCGTGGAGGCTTTCTGCAACAAGCTCATTCCGTGTAACAGGGAGCGACCGCAATGCCAAGGTTGAACCGCGTGAACGTGTAGAAGCGAAAGTTCTCAGCGCTTGTAGCCATATCCAAATTGTTAAAAACAGCCCGCGTTGCACTGAGCTTATAGAGCTGTCTTTTGAGGTCTGCTCTGTAAGCAAACACGGATTGACTTGAAAATCGGCAATAACAGAGATTGCATATTGATCTACATGTCTGAGCAGTGGGAAGTGCATTGCTTGCAGAATTACAAATTTACAAACGATTCTCATTACTTTCCGGACACCCGAAGTAATTACCCAAGTAGTCATGGGTGATCCAAAACTCGTCCATGGACAATCCAGTTGTCCAGAGATGGATATAAGTCCAGAGGCGGTCGTCCGTTGGATGTACATAGGATGCCATCGCCATGGATTGATATATTCTCATGCATTCTGAGCTTTATTCGAGCAAAATTTCCCTACATCGAACACTCAATTACTTCCATCTTATTGAATGAAGGTTTTATGGAATGACGTTACTAGGATCCGATCGTGGGAGTTATTTTGTTCTTGTTTTTTCTTCTTATCTCCCATCTTAGGTCCCAACCAAATAACTTCAATCAATATATATCAATAGATAGTGTGACATAGTAATTGGACCAGTGCATGATTTAATTTAGATTTCGACGATACGAACGAAACGATGTGTTAGTCCTTCTTTCAGCATCCATTGGACGTCCAGCAATGGAACCTCCAAGGACAACTTCTTATGGTCTTCCATTGAATGTCCTTGGATGGAATCCCCGCCCCGTTGAGGCCTTCCATCTGACCTGACATCAAGCAGCTCATTTAAGGAATACAAAGTTCCCATAATATGAGAGAGGTCGCGCTCATCCCGCCGCTGTGTCTCCCGATCCCCAAAATGCTAACGAATTGTTCTGCGTAAGCTTTCATCCTCTACTCGATCATTTCCCACGTACAAGCCTAAGGAATGAAGTCATTCTAATTAATTTATTTGTTGAGAGACGTAACATAGCTCAAGGAGACTCCTGGCGATTCTTGCACATTGTATGGTGAGAGTATGGTGCCCCTTGTGAAGTAACAGAGAGTAAGCGCATAAGGCTATGGCAGCAGCTCGTAATGAGTTCCACTGCCATCCCATGCCCCAGCTGGTGGGGGTGGAACTCCCGGCAGCTAGAACTGCCTCTTCCAAGGCTTCCCAGTTCCTGGTTTGCGAGCGACTCGCTCGATCTGCACACTCACATTGTTTGTACTCTCTCCAGCTCTCCTAACCTTCATCTCGTCTCCGTTTTCACGTGTCCTTCATATCTGATCTCTTCCTACCCTCTCTTCGTCTTTTGGTTTCTCTCTCTTGCCTGTTCCTCGTCTAACACCGCTCACTCTTTTCTAGTCATTGTCTAGCTGCTCCTTTTCTCTCTACTGTTCATAACTTTCATATCTGTCTTCTCTGCTCACCCCTTGACTCGTTCTCTTGTCCCCCTTCTCTCCCACACTCACGCGCTTCACTCTTCCCCCTTCTTTCCCACGCATCTCTTACCCCTCTGAGTTCGACTTCGCATACTTTTCTATTTCTTTCCCTTTATCAGGTCTCTCTCTCTCTCTCCCTCCCTCTCTCTCTCCCTCCCTCTCTCTCTCTCTCCCTCTCTCTCTCTCTCCCTCTCTCTGCTTATTCCTCCTCACTTTTCTTGTATACTGCAAGAACATGAACACTCTTCTTTCCTGCTCTTTCTCCCACGTCCTGCCTTCACTGGCTCTTGAGCATCCGTTTTCTATACTCTTCAATTCCGCTTAATACAGGCTTTCTCCCTCTCCTTATTTCATCGCTACATTAACATCTCTCGCCCACTTCCGTCTAGTCTCTACATGTTTTGATCTATCTTCCTTTAATTTAAGGTGATCTCACTTTTCTTTTCCCCCCTTCCTGCTTCCTTGCTTTTTTATTTTTTTTTTCCCACCTCCAACCAATCCCTGACCCATGGGTCCAGTGACCGGGACACGTTCCCGCGCCAAAAGGCGGAACAAAAGCACACCACCTCCTTCCACAAGGAAAGAACGCCAAGCTAGAACCCCAACACCTGAGAGGTCAATTATGTCTCTTGCCAATCCAACAGCTAATCTGACATCACCCTCAGCAACATCATTGATGTCAACAAATGTGGATTCCCCACGACCCCACATACCCGATCAACAAACTGCTATAACTACCTCTCCCCCCTCTGTTAATGAGGTGCCGACAGCTGTGACTTTAACGAGGGAGGGCGTATCTATAGAAGTCCCGCTCAACGAGGACAATGATCCTGCTCCCTTCACAGAGGTCACTCCCAGACGTAGGCACAACACCAACGCCAGCCCCCCTCAGAATCCTACACGAACCAAGAGGCCAGTGCGGGACCCCTTCCGAACCCCCCTGTTTATTGAGGCGGTACCGGAAAAGTTCCGTAATCCGATAGCCTTTGTTAGAGCCCTTCTCGGAGCGCTCAAAGGCATTGAAATCACCAACATCAGAAAGACAAGGACGGGATACGTCTTGGACGTCCCCAACCAACAAGATGCCGAAAGGCTTATTGAGAAATTGCCATCTGACATGGGCACTGCCCATGCCCC